CCCGCCCTTCCCCCGTCAGGTGGTTTGGATTTCTAGGGTGAAAGTGACATTTCCGTAGCTGTTTTGTTGTGCCATACAGGTGACATTCTCGCAACTTTCACCCTGGGTGTTTCTCCGAAGGTTTTCCGCAGCTTTTCCGCAAGAAAAGCTACTGTGTGCATTTTGTGCCCACAAGAGATTTCGCGATGGCATTCAGGTTCGTGAGCTTAACTTCTGATCGGTACAAACCGCAGAGACCAGTAGGTAGACTGCGGACGTGAGACATACATTTCAATACCTGAAACAATCACGCTGTCAAGACCGCACAGGTAGTTAGCGTTAACGTGAGTTAGCAAAGAGCCTGAGCATGTGTAGACAGGTGAGTTCCTAGGCACGGAAAGGAGGGTGTTTTTGAGACTTCTCAATAACACCCTCTTTTCACGTGTAGACAGGAGTTCCTAGGCACGGAAATTTGAAGAGATTGAGCTCCAAATACACCAAGGAATGTGGCATCTTTATGCTAAACCTTATGCGGAATTCTACGCCTTGTGAATGCAGGAGCTGCGTGACCTGCAGCCCACCCTATTGGATGCTGCCACGTATGCGGAGGAGGCATATCTTGTCACGGACCAAAAGGACATGTAAGCAACAATGGTATTGTAGGTCGTTTCCTTAGCCTGTCTCCGTACTGTTTGAGCCATTTATCCACCCATCCAGCCATCCAGCCATCCAGCCCTCCAGCCTTCTCCGTGCTATTTCCTCTCTTCTCCTCCACTGTGCTTCTCCCACGCAGAGAGCTGCACAACGTGCGCGACTATGCAGTGAGCATGCCGGTGTCCGTGGTGGACCGCATTGGCTTGTTGCTTGTTTCTGCCTAACCATTCCCCTCCCACCCCTCTATCCATCCGTCCCCAAGCAGAGAGCTGCACAACGTGCGCGACTATGCAGTGAGCATGCTGGTGTCCGTGGTGGACCGCATTGGCTTGTTGCTTGTTTCTGCCTAGCCATTTCCCTCCCACCCCTCTATCCATCCGTCCCCAAGCAGAGAGCTGCACAACGTGCGCGACTATGCAGCGAGCATGCTGGTGTCCGTGGTGGACCGCATTGGCTTGTTGCTTGTTTCTGCCTAACCATTCCCCTCCCACCCCTCTATCCATCCGTCCCAAAGCAGAGAGCTGCACAACGTGCGCGACCATGCAGTGAGCATGCTGGTGTCCGTGGTGGACCGCATTGGCGCGGCTGCCAACCTCATATCCTTATGCCGTGCTGTTCCCCCTCTTCTCCTCCACTGTGCTTCTCCCACGCAGAGAGCTGTATAACGTGCGGGACCATGCAGTGAGCATGCTCGTGTCCGTGGTGGACAGCATTGGCTTGCTGCTGCTTGATTGTATTGTGACCCTCAATCCCTCCCTTCCCCTCGATTCACCTCTCAATCCAGAGAGCTGCACAACGTGAGGGACCATGCGGTGAGCATGCTGGTATCTGTGGTGGATCGCATTGGCTAGCAGCTGCTACTCAATCGTGTGTGTGTGTGCCCCCTACTCCCTCCCCACGCAGAGAACTCCACAACGTGAGGGACTATGCAGTGAGCATGCTAGTGTCCGTGGTGGACCGCATTGGCGCTGCGGCCGATCGCTTCACCGATGCCGTCTCCCTGCAGGCCAAGGAGATGGTTGCTGCTGACGTCAGAGTCGCGTCAGCTGCCGAGGTATGGGTGTCCATGCATGCGAGCATGTGCGAGATGTGTGTGGGTGGGCGAGCAGGGGAGTGGGTGTCGGTGTGTGTCCACGTATTTCTGTGCTTGTGTGTGTGGGGGGGAGGTGTCTGTGTGTGCGCGCTCCGTCTCAGGTACGCACGTTCTCGCATGCATGTGTGTCTGGGTGCGGCCGATCGCTTCACCGGCGCCGTCTCGCTGCAGGCCAAGGAGATGGCTGCTGCTGACGTCATGGTCGCGTCGCATGCGGGAATGTGCGTTCGCATGTGTGTGTGGGTGCGTGTAGGCTTACCTCACATGCACCATCGCATGCATGTGTGTCTGGGTGCGTGTGCTTCATGTGTGTCTCTGTGTGTATGGGTGTGTGTGTGTGTGGGGGGGGGGGGGGGGTGGGGGAGGAGGGGGGGGGGAAGGGAAAGGTGGGGGTGGGGCTGGGGCGTCGCTTTTGCCTCTGCCATCTTGCATCCTCCTTAGCTTCAGTGGTTCATGTGCGTCTCTGTATGTATGGGTGTGTATGCGCATGTGTGTGTATGTGTGTGTGTGTGTGTGTTTGTGTGTGTGTGTGTGTGCGGGCTTGTGTGCGGGCTTGTGTGCGCATGCGCATGCGTTCGTACGTGCGATGGTGCACACGCTCGCGCACGTGCGTGCGTGTGTGTGCCCCCCCCTCTTCTATGCTACAGCGAGTGCGGGCGTGTTGGGAATACTCAGGGCGCAATGCACTGAACCGACAGCAGCAGCCTCATCTTCTTTTCCATGTGCCTGATTCCATGCCTATTCTGTGCTGTACTCTCTTTTCATTGCTGCAGCGTGTGCGGGCGTGTTGGGAATACTCAGGGCGCAATGCACTGAACCGACAGCAGCAGCCTCATTTTCTTTTCCATGTGCCTGATTCCATGCCTATTCCGTGCTGTACTCTCTTTTCATTGCTGCAGCGTGTGCGGGCGTGTTGGGAATACTCATGGCGCAATGCACTGAACCGACAGCAGCAGCCTCATCTTCTTTTCCATGTGCCTGATTCCATGCCTATTCTGTGCTGTACTCTCTTTTCATTGCTGCAGCGTGTGCGGGCGTGTTTGGGAATCTCAAGAGCCTCTGCGAACAATAACAAGGACTTCATGCCTTTGAGTTGGTACTACCAAGTTTTGACACGTCTCATAACTTGCTTAGGCCGTTTGCTTGGGAATCTCAAGAGCCTCTGTGGATAATAACAAAGGACGTCATGCTATTGAGCTGGTACCAAGTGAGGGTTCAGGGTTTAGGTGTAGGTTGCTGTCTCTCTGCTAAAAACACCCAGTTTACTCATTTGCTTGTTTCTTCTATCGTTCCATCTCTGTGTTTCAGGTATGCCATCCGTCCGTGCATCTCTTGACTGCATAGCTGGTCTACCACCCTCCTCCTCCTCCACTTCGTCGTCCTCCTCCTTCCCCTCCTTTTCGTCCTCCTTCCCCTCCTCCTCTACCGTTCCCCACTCCTCATCAACCCTCTCCAACCCATCGGCAGCAACACCACACTCTGCTGACAAGATACTTTCGCGGAAACAATCACACTCACACAACCTCTCTCACTCACCCAACTTTTCGCACTCGCCCAACCTCTCGCACTCTCACAACCTCCCCCATTTCTCCAACCTCTCTCGCTCGCACAACCTCTCGCAGTCTCACGGACTCATGCACTCTCTCTCTCACTCCCTCTCGCAACACATGGGACACCGAGGCTCGCACGCTCGACAAAGCAAGGTACTACGATCTCCATTGCAAAAATATAATGTAACACATTTTCCAACCTCTATTTCTACATCCTTTTTTACTTTTACACCCAGGAACTCCTCTCTTCCGCTTGTGTAATTCCTTGCCCGGTGCCCACTCCACCCAAACCCCATGGCCCTCTAATTGCCTCCTTGCTGCACAGTAGACAGGTTTCGGGCATTAATGAAGTGAAAGGGATCAGCGACCCTCTACTGCAGTGTGCCACCCCTCGTTTACAGCAGCCCACAATTCTCTGAACAGTTCACATCCCCTTATACTCACTTGAATCCCCTCTTCTCCTCTCCCACTCCGTTCCCACAGGAGCCTACCACTCCCAAGGGGCACTTCCCCCTCGTCGCCTCCTCGTTGCACGCTGGAGGGGCTTCAGGTGTTGATGACGTGGAGGGCAGTGATAGGAGGTCCACCACGCCACATCGGCGCGGCCGGCAGCTTCTGAAAAATATATTCTCACGTGGTGCTGGTGGTGGTGCTGCTTGTGCTGCTGGTGGTGCTGGTGCTGGTGCTGGTGCTGGTGCTGGTGCTTCTGGTGCCAGTGGTGCGTTAGGGGATGGTAGTAACGGTTATACAAGCACTCAAAGAGCCCATGATCGGGGGTACTCCGGACACCTGTGATGTGTGGTTACACCTGATGGTTGTCAAAGGTCATTCCCACCCTGCCTGGGTGGATTCCCCTCGGTGGGGGATTCCCGATTGTCCGAAATGATCGTAACCCAACGTTATCCGATTGATTGGTCTTGGAATAAGATAGGGGTAGGTGTATGTTATGCATGCATAGTGGCCCGGTGGGTTTTGTTTTCGGCCCCATTTCTAGGTAACCAAACGCTGCTGCTGCTGCTGCTGCTGTTGCTGGCGATGCTGGTGCTAGGGGTGCTAGAGATCTGTAATTGGAGTTATGAGTCATAGGCAAAGCGTATGTAGTTAAGTACAAGAAGGTACTACATTCCTGTAAGGACGTGACTACATTATAGGCGTCACGACTCACAATTATTAAACAACGAGTCTTGTCTAAATGCACCGGTATGACCGCGTCTGCAACCCGAAGTACAGTAGTTTTTTAGGCCGATTTCTCCGCAGGAACCAAGGCACATGCACAATGTCCTCATACACATAGTTCCTCTCAAGGAACCCCTTCAACCAGTGTGCAGCAGCCGCTCACACCACCTTTGAGACACCTCAGAAATTGCCAACTTGGTGCTCTTGACATTTGCAGCCTGTGAATTTACTTCTTTGCAGGGTACCAGAGCGCATGAACAAAGTCCTCGTACGCATAATTTCTCTCGATGAATCCTTTCAACCAGTGTGCAGCAGCCGCACACACCACTGCAGCCATTGAAACACAGAAATACACCAGTCAGGCCCTCAGCTAGTGGGTATGTTTTAAGCGGATTTCTTCGCAGGGTACCAGAGCATATGCATGAAGTCCTCGTACACATAGTTCCTCCCAATGAACCCCTTCAACCAGTGGGCAGCAGCTCCACACACCACTTTGAGATGCCTCAGAAATGCCAACTTGGTGCTCTTGACATTTGCAACCCGTGAATTTACTTCTTCGCAGGGTACCAAAGCGCATGAACAAAGTCCTCGTACACATAATTCCTCTCCATGAACCCCTTCAACCAGTGGGCAGCAGCCGCACACACCACCGCAGCAGCCGCTGCAAAAACAGCACCCATGGGGCCCGCAGCTTGCCGAATAGCAGGGGGGGCGATGGGAAGAAGAGCGGTGGCGGCGAGGAGGAGGAGGGAGGCGGCCCAGAGGGCGGTGCGGAGGCGATCAGACCAGCGCTGCACCCGCTGGCAGTCGGGGCACAGCCGCACGTGGAAGCGCTGCCTGTGAGGAGGGGGGGGGGGGGGAGAATGGTGGGGACGAGGTGGGGAAAGAGGGGAAGAAGGTGAAGAGAAGGAAGACAATTACAGCTCCTCTGTGTTCTGGAACGTGCCAATGGGGAAGAGGGAGGAATGACGGGAGAGGGATAAACGGGGGAAGAGGAAACAAGGTGGTGGTGGCGAGGAGGAGGAGGGAGGCGGCCCAGAGGGCAGTGCGGAGGTGGTCAGACCAGCGCTGCACCCTCTGGCAGTCAGGGCACAGCCGCACATGGAAGCGCTGCCTGCAGGTGGGAGGGAGGGTGGAGGGGGGCGGGGCGAGGGGTGAATTGAAAGCCAACAGAAATGCCTTTTGATGCGCCTCAAATGACCAACGCAGCACCCGCTGCTTATGAGGGGGAGGGGGGGTTGAGAGTGGGAATACTTTCAAGTCACCATGACTTGCCGCAACAGACCAACAGTGCACCCGCTGGCATTCGGGGCACAACCGCACGTGGAAGCGCTGCCTTTATTGGAAGAGGGAGAGAAGGGTGCGAGAAGGTGGGAGTGGGGGAGGCGGGGGGGGAGGGGTGAAGATTCACTTAGGAGAATTTTAAAAAATCAACCCGCTTCCTCACCTGCCAAGAATCTCCCCCCCTGAATTGGCAAGTTTTGGGGCGTCAAGTACGAGATACATTTTTTTCTTCTTCTTCTACTTTTTTTCACCTGTCACCTTCTCACCTGTCAAGAATCTCCCTCCTTGACTTGGCAGCAGGCAGTTCCGGATTCACGTAGGCGGGAAAGCGGGCCTTGCCGCCCGCAAATCTGACTAGCCAGGAGCGATAGGCCGAGACGAACGAGTCGGCTGACGTGGGAGTGTAGTAGCTCTTTATCCCCTGCACCGCACCTCCCTCTTCCTCCAGCCATCGCTCCTGTAGGAACAGATAAAGAGGTAAGGCAGAGAGAAAGGTGAGAGAGAATCAAGTAGCGGTAGGCCGAGACGAACGAGTCGGCTGACGCAGGAGTGTGGTAGCTCTTTACCCCCTCCGCCCCTCCCTCCTCCTCCAGCCGCCGCTCCTGCCGCGAGGGGGAAGGCAGAGACAGAGGCGTTTGGTGGGGGGAGACAGGGAGGGTACAGAGAGGTGTTCGGAGTGGTAGGCCGAGACAAGCAAGAGACACAGTACATTAGAGAGAGTTCGAGCCTGTTGGAAACGCATACCGTGAGGTGCAGCAAAGGGTGGTCGGTGTCTAGCACTTTCATCCTTGTCAGGTGCACGAACCACTCAGGGGGGAGTGGCAGACACACACGAGCCCACAGGCTCAAGAGACGTACCGAGGCGCATCAAACACTGAGGAGACTTACCGTGAGGTGCAGCAACGGGTGGTCAGTGTCTAGCACTTTCATCCTTGTCAAGTGCACGAACCACCCGGGCGGCATGGCATGGGCAACCAGAAGGTCACGCGATGCCCATCAGACACCATGCGAGCACGCAATGCAGTGCATGAGAGAGAGGCAATGGAGAGGCGTACCGTGAGGCACTTTCATCCTTGTCAAGTGCACGAACCACTCGGGCGGCATAGGCACCCAGGGCGGGATGATGTTGTTCATGAAGAACCAGATGAGGCGGCTCTGCCCCGGCAGGCGGGGAATGCAGTGGAAGAAAATAATTGCTGTCCGCTGCTTCTTGCCTGACCCCTCTTCCTGCACAGGATTGCGCAGAAAGGAGGGGTTTAGAGAGGGAGAAGAGGATAATGGGAGGAGAAGAACGGGAGGAGATTAATGGGGGGGGGGAATGTGGGGAGAGAGCCAGGTTATTGTAGGAAGGAACCACTCGGGGGGCATGGGCACCCAGGGGGGGATGATGTTGTTCATGAATAACCAGATGAGGCGGCTCTGCCCTGGCAGGCGGGGAATGCAGTGGAAGAAGAGAATTGCTGTCCGCTGCTTCTTGCCCGACCCCTCTTCCTGCACAGGATCGCGTGTGGTGGGGGAAGAGAGGAGGGAGAGGGTGGGGGAGTCGGGAGGATGTGGGAAAATTGGGGTAGAAAGGGGGAGTGAGACAAGGAAGGATGAGAAGCTGCCAATTCTGAGAATTCTCAAAAGTGACTTTACTATAGCTGAGACATGGAAGGGTGGAAGGGTGACAAAAAAGGGGAAGCGGAGAACAGAAGAGCTATGGCCCCACCACTCACAGACATTGAAATGAATGGGAACTCACCACTTATCCCCCACTTGTAGGCACCTAAAAAACCAAATATGATTATAGTAAAGGGAACTCACCACTTTTCCCCCGATGAAGAGCTTCTGAATGAGCGTTCAGGGGGGGACCACAGCAGCTGGGCCGCCCAGAAAGCTCGTTCCCTCAATGCCTCGTGGGGTGATGCTGGTTACCACCATGGACGGCATTGGCCTCGCCTTGTTACGATCGCCCTGCAAAAGATGGGAATGTGGGAAGGGAAAGGGAGGAGAGGGATAAGAGGGGTACAAGGCTTGTTCCCTCAATGCCCCGTGGGGTGATGCTGGTTACCACCATGGATGGCATTGGCCTCGCCTTGTTGCAATCACCCTGTGGGAGGTATCCCGGTGGGTGGTGAGGAGGATAAAAGGTTATGAGTGAAGGGCACGTGCGATGGGTCTTGACAGGTGCGACAAATTTCCTGAGCTAGGTTTCAAACTTCCACGTGGAATTGTGAACCCACCTGGTACTTGTGATGCGCGAAGGGCACATGCGCTGGGTCCAGCAGATTCTCCATCAGCATCTCGTAGCTGTAGGGGAGCGAAGGGGGAAGGGAGTGGAGACACGTAGGGACGTGGGGAAGGGAGGATATGGGGTGCTTGAGACAGAAATCGCGGAGGGTACAAGCGCTGGGTCCAGCAGATTCTCCATCAGCATCTCGTAGCTGTGGGGAGCGAAGGGGGAAGGGAGTGGGAAAGGGTAGGGAGAGATAAGGATAGGGAGAGATAAGGGTAGGGAGAGATAACGGTAGGGAGAGATAAGGGTAGGGAGAGATAAGGGTAGGGAGAGATAAGGGTAGGGAGGACTGGGAATGGGGAAAGGAATGGCTCGGAACGTTAAACTAAGGGAGGACTGGGGAGGTGGGGCATCCTTTACATCTCAAAAGCCATATGCAAAATCTGCAAGCTAAACTTGCAACCCAGCCTTGCAATGCAGCTCGGCCGTACTCAAGGTCTGCCATGCCAGTGTGGTGACGAAAGGTTAGGTTGTCAAACGCAGGGAGAGTTCCGAGGCGATATTACAGGTTGCCTCGCCAAAGAAGTCTCGGCATGCCTTCCTTTGAGACGTCCTAGAACTCAAACTCGAGACATCCAACAACCCAGGTGCAAAGCTCCTCACCTGCAAACGAACCTCACCTAGCAAAGAAACTCACCCGTATGTATTCTAGGTCCGCCATGCCCGGGTCGTATCGGAAGCTCGGATCATCAAACTCAGGAAGAGCTTCAAGACGTCTCAACACCCCAACCGCGCAAACCCTGCACCCCAACCTTGTGCATTGTAGCTCACCCTTCTTCAAGGTCTGCCATGCCCGTGTTGTATCGAAAGGTGGGACTTGAGGTGCCTCAAATGCCCCATAATACTTTCCAAGCAGCTCGCCCGTATTCTAGGTCCGCCATGCCCGTGTCGTATCGAAAGCTCGGATCGTCAAACTCAGGGAGGGACGGGGGAGGCGGGGCAGCAGCTGCTTCAGCAGCAGCGGAGGGGGAGCAGTCCGGTCAGAACCAGATGGTGCCTTCATGCACCCGACTGGGGTACACACACGCACATGCTCGAGGGGACGCGTTCACCTGGGAGAGGGGGAGGGGAGGAGGGAGGGCAGGAGCAGGAGCAGTTGCAAGGTCTAGGCGGGTGGTGGGGCGGCAGCAGCGGAGGGAAAGCAGTCCGGCCAGAACCAGATGATGCCTTCATGCACCCGACTGGGGTACACCTGCGCACATGCTCGAGGAGACGCGTTCACCTGGGAGGGGGAGGAAGGGCAAGGGGCAAGGGCAGGGGCAAGGGCAGGGACAACAGGGAAATAAAAAGGGTGGGGGAAGGCAAGGCTGGAGTAGGGTAGGGGATTAGGCAAGGTTAGGGTGTGGGGGGGAGGGGGGAGGGGGGGAAGGGGATTAGAGGTTAAGGGGGGAGGAGAATCTGTAATATTTGACGAGAGCACTGCGGGGAGGAGGGGAGGGGCAGCAACAAGAGCAGTGGAGGGGGGTACATTTGGCCAGAACCAAAGGACCACTCAGGCACATAATCGAGGAGAGGTGCTTATAGGGTAAGGGAGTGGTTCGGGGTGGAAAAGGCAGGGGGGGTGAGGGGGAGGGAGGAAGGTGGGGGAGAGGGGGGTTGGTGGGGTTTAGTGGGAAGAGTTGACTAGCAACCAATATCGCAGCAGCAAACCAAGAGACCGGGTGGGTCGTACGTGTATTTCAACCGAGATACTTCTGACTGGAATTCGCAAGTTGCCTTCTCCCCAAGTACTAAAGAATGACCTCAAATAAATCAAAACAAAAACATAAACATAAACAACAACAAACGAACAAACAGAAAAAACAAAGAATTACAAATCACTCACTGCTGGCCCGTCCGTGGGAGCCTGAGGAATGAGCCCACACGAGCCTTCTCCTGAGAATGTCCATCCGTGGTAGGAGCACTGCAGCTGCCCTGACTCGTGGATCCGCCCCTCTGACAGTGGGGCTAGCCTGGGAGGAGAGAGGTGATGGTAGGTTGAACGGAAGTTGCAAGGGAGGAGGGGAGGTGACGGAACATCCACATGTGATAGAAGCACTCCAACTTCCCCGATTTGTGGATCAACTTCTCTTATAGTGGGGGAAGGGGGCTAGGGAGGGTGGAGGGAGGCGAGGCTAAGGACTTGGCGAGAGAAGAAGAAAGGCGAGATAAGAAAATGGCGGAAAAGAGAAAGGATGGGGAGCAGGAAGAGAGGCTTAGAAAAAGGGAATTTAAAGTTCGTGAGGCGAGACGATAGAAAAATTGAGTGTGCAAGCAAGTGGGCATACGTTGTATCAGAAGAGGGAGAACAATAAGGGAAACAAATAGTCGCATGATATGAAACGAAATGAAGGATGGTTATTTCGAGTACCTGTGAGGGCAGAGGTCATGGAAGACCCGCCATTGGTCAGACACCCGATCGAACCAGATGACCAATGGGCGGCCGAGAATGGTCACAGGCTCGGGAACGCGCTTGTTCAGAGTCTTGGTGAGCGCTGGTGGGTGTGGTGGAGGGGGGAGGAAATGGGGTAAGGGGGGAAGGGGATGCGCGTTGAACGCGCTTGTTCAGGGTCTTGGTGAGCGCTGGCAGGTGTGGTGAAGGGGGTAGGAGGGGAAGGGGGGTGAGAGGAGGAAAATGTGCTGAACACATTGGAAGGGAATGAGATGATGTGCGGAGAGGTTAAATGGGGTATGGGGGGAAGAGGATGAGCGCTGAACGCGCTTGATCAGAGTCTTCGTGAGCGCTGGCAGGCAGCACGATGTGTTGTGTGGGGGGGGAGGGGGGAGGGAGGGGGAAGGGGAGGGGTGAGGGTAGGAAAACGTGCTCAACGTGACATTGAGTGAGGGGAATGAGATGAGCTTCGCGCAAAGGAAGGATCCAGTATTTTGCACAGAGATTTTTCGAGGAATAAGGGTTAAGGGGAGGGGAGGGGGTCAACACTCTGAAAAAAGGGGGAAACTGTTGTGGGGAGTGGTGAGGTAAGGGGAGTAAGTAAGGGATAATGGAGGCTTGGAGGGGAGAGAAATAAGAGACAGTGGAAACAGGGGAGGGAGGAGACTCGTGGACTCATTCGGAATGAGGTGATGTTGGATAGTCATGTATTTCCTACGTAAATATCTCCACGAACTAGCATTTCGTTATAGGAATTCGACAAACTTGTACACAAAATGCTTTTGTTTCAAGCGAAATTTCACTTTCTTGGAGAGCCCATGTGTGACGAAAAAAGTCACGTCGCTGAAGCTCTCCCGTGCAGCAAAACTGTAAACTCAAAATATTGATGAAAGTGAAAACGTTCGAACATGTTCAACGTCACGCTGCAATCAAAGTTGTTGCAAAACACGTCCGAACATAGGTTTCTAGGCCCTCCACTTCTCAGAATGTCACTTTCAAGTTGATCTCAGGCGCTTTTCCTGCTAATAAAGGGTTCTTTTCGTGCGAGATCGCTTTTATAACCGTAAAAATCTAAGAAACATCTTGCAAGCGTTAGTACTGATACAAGAAAGGCTTCTGGAGGAGCTGGGGGTGTAGCTTTGGGCAAGGGAGGAATAAGTAAAGGTGGTGTTACAGTCGGTGGGAACGCTTTTCCTAATAGTGCGCTATCGGGTCAGAGCAGTAGCGGTGGTGGTGTTGGTGTTGCTGGGTGGGGAGCCAAATGGGAGGGAGACGGCATTGGGTTGAAAGAGCAGTAGTAGCAGGAAAGGGAGCAGGCTTTGAAGAAGGGCAAAGGGATGGGAAAGCAACAGCAAAAACCTGTGGGGAAGCAGGAGGCGGCAAGTAAAAAGACGATGAAAGAGCAGCAAGGAATCACATTGCAGACGAAAAAATCTGGAGGCAAACGCAAAAGAGCCTAGACTAAACCACGTTGTCTAACCATGTTGGTATTGGTGCTTGGTATTGGCTAGGTAGGCTGTCCATTAAATCTCTCAAATATTTGCTAGGTAGGCTAAGTTTTTTTAATCAACTGTTTCCTTTCTTTATCCCTATCTCACGTTGCGACGCGGCGTCTAGCGAACCTTCCAATTCCAAGGTTTGCTGCTAACTGGCGTGGTGGGGTTTATTTTTTTTGCCCCCTGCAGTTTGTCATGTTGTTGCTTCCGCTTTGTCGTTAGCGCGCCCGCTACGTCCCGTTGAGATATACTAGGCTAGCCCACGAATTGAAGTCCACAGACGTGGAATCGACGAACATACACGTCACCAGTTACCGACACGTGCACAAAACGAACCTGGCCTTGCACCTGCCTCAGGAATCTCCGTGCATCAGATCCCATCGGAGATCCCCCTAGTTACATGTCTCCACGTGGCTACGAATCATTCAGCCACTCTGCCTTCCATCTCAGTCGTCTTCGCATGCTGCAATGTTACCGTCGCCACGCACCCTGCGAGTATCGCCGCCGCGTTTCTTACAGTACCTACCTAGGAAATACCACATAAGGGCGCGTAACCATTTTGCACCCGACGGTTCGAACCGTGGACCGTCCGGGTGGCGTAGAGGTAACATAATTCGCGCTACCGCCTGAGCGATTTGATGGTAGTGAGACCATCGTTCCAAGCCTAGCTTACCATCATGACAAGGCCGCCATGGATTTCGCCGCGGATTAACGTGAACCTATTTCGTGAAGGTTACTTATCAGTTCGTAACTCTGAGACCATTTTCGAGTTCCTGAGTACATTACGAAGCGGAGGATATAAATTTTATGTCTACTACACGGACATTATAACCTCGGCTACTCAGAGGTATCTCAGTGTTCCAAACACATTTCAAGCTAACCAACCTCAATGGTTCCTTGATACTTCCGGCAGTTTCCAAGGCTCCTACAATGGACATCGCAACTGCAATGAAATTAAAAACAGAAACAACAACACTCCTGATCGCTATGCAAGACATGATCCCAAGGCTAAGACCTCGGGAGTTCATCATTTCCTTCAGGAGAGCAAGTCACGAGCTCCGAAAACCTTTTATAAGGAGGTGGTGCTCAGTCCTCAAGCAGCATCAGCTCTTTTTTGGTCTCAGCCTTTTCTCAAACGGCTGTTTTCTGAGACTCATCATCGCACCATGCCTCCTAAACGGTCGTCGAAGGTCACTGCTGAGGTCACGCTCCCGGACGACCTCCTAATGGATCCGTTCACCACGCCGGCTCCTGTTGTGGATGGGGCTGAGAAGCAAGGCTCAAACGATGCGGTTACTGTTAATGCAGTCACAGACAATGCTGCGAAGCCCGTCAAGGAATCGGCTAATACTACTGCTGCTGACGTCGCTGGTGGTTCTGGACTATCAGTGGAAGAGAAGTTTCAAGACAACCAGGCTCCTGTTGCTGTGCTTGACGAGTTCCTGGAGGATGATGAGGATGAAGAGCTGGAGATCGACATTGCCAAGGAAGATGCTTTTCGTCTTCGTTATACAACAATCTTACTCATTCCGATGGTGCTTTCTCAGGAGATTAAGGCCATTATTGCTGCAGTGCGTCTTCTGATGACCAAGGTCTGGAGCTCTTCTCTAACCGAGAACGCTGGGGTGACGGCTAACATACAGGAGATGATACCTGGCTTCGTCGCGAAGACACGATTCTGCCGGCTTCAAATCTCCTTCCTCGACGAACGGGATGCACATCACATCAAGTTTCATGTTTTTGAGTACCAGAAGGAGAATGCTCCGGCGATCAAGTGCATCTGGCAGCACACAGAGAACGCCTCGTACCTTAAGGAGAAAGCTACTCGTCCCCTTGCTATTGAAGTGGTGTTCCGGCGCGTGCCTGCTAACATTGTCCCGGATGTTTTGAAGGACCTGCTTGTCCGTTTCAAACTGAAGAAGCGTCAGCAGTCGGCTTTCAAGGAAGGGTTTGGTTTCCATCGGGTGGCTCACCCACTCACCGGAGCTGACACCGATGTTATCAAAGGCCTGGTCGTGCAGCATCCTGGGGATCGTTATCGCTGGCGCCACATGGTCGACAGCCCGATGGGGTCCGGAGAAAAGCTCATGGTCCACTACCCTGCACTGTCCTGTCAGCTCTGCAATGGACAGCATTATGACATTTATCATGATCTGTTCATCACAGAGCGGCAGAACAATATAGGGAAGTGGAACCTTACCTTGGGGAAAGCTCATAGTATCAATGGTAACTGCATCAGCTTTCTTCATTACATCGCAGACTTACCTTTCTCATCTCTCACTGACGATCTCTGTTGCGCTCGCAGCTGCTTCTCTGCGCACCTTCGCTCTCGTCACCCCCATACTGAAAGATCCATCCATCGCTCTTGTCTCGACCGGCAGCAACCGCGAAGAATGGATCTGCACGCAAGTGTGCTGCGGGAAGGCGAAAGGGAAAACTTTCCTGGCTGCGGCGGATCACATCATCTCTTCGACTCACCTGCTGAACCAGGAGAAGATGGGTACCGCCACAAAAGCCTCCATGGACAAGGCTGCTCTTGCCGGTTTGAAGAAGGATTACAGCTTCTGAGGCTGCGGAAGGAGAACAGTGTACTGTTGGCGATAGTAGGGTGGAGTGCAGTAGTCAGTGTTGTCACCATCTTCGGCCTGTGGATGAACAGGGGCCTCCAGGCAGTTATCAAATGAGTAACAAAAATTTCTTCTCCTTAGCAGGCCTTAACGTCAACGGCCTAGGTGACAAAACAAAGCAAGACAGAGTCTCGACCTGGATTAGAACAGCAGCTGACATCATCATTCTCACAGACACAAGACTTCCGGATAACCACACTTATTGGAAAACTCCATCCTTCACCACAGTCCTCACAACGCCACCCACTGATAAAGCCGGCGGCGTTGCCGTTCTTACCAGGGATCCCTCCGTCCTTCTCACGAACACCAGCACACACCCATCAGGGAGACTGATAGTAACTACCGCTAGCCGCTACGGTTTCACTCTTACCCTCATTGCTGTTTACTTTCCCGCAGATGCCACTGACAGATGCTCTTTTTTGAAGAACGTTGTCGGCCCGGCTTTCGACCAGATCCCCACCACTGACCACGTAGTTCTCCTGGGAGACCTGAACATTGTAGAAGATCCAGTTTTAGATCGGACGTCACAATCAGGCACCTCCTTAGAAAACGACAGGCTTATTTCACGATGCAACCGCTTTCAACTCTCAGACGCTTTCCGCACGCTTCACCCTAAGCTCAGAGAGTACACCTTTTACGCTGCATCCAAGCAATCCAGCTCTCGCATTGACCGCGCGCTAGTTTCTTGCTCGCTGCTCCCGCATCTTGATATAGCTGCACACATACGGCCGGAGGAGTACATCTCAGATCATGGATTCGGGATAAAAATCGCCTTAAAAATAAAAGCATCTTCTCACCTGGGTCCTGGCATCTGGAGACTGCATGCAGCAGCCCTGGGCAGGCCTGGAATTCGGAAAGTGGTAGAGGCTGCCTTGGTGAAAGCGGTTGAGGATGGAGATGGTAATTTCGAGTTACTACTTGGGAGACTCAATGCTGGTTTGCGTGCGTACACGAAGGAGGAGAACAAAAGAGTAAAGAAAACAACGGCTCATCTGGCGGAGGTAGTGGCGGAGCTACATCAGGAGCAGATGCGCAACCCGAGCTGTCAAAAGACGAGTGATCTGTTTCACGTCAGGGACGCGCAGCTGAGAGAGTACCATGCATCAAAACGGGACAGACTTCACGTGATGACAGGGACGGATGCGGAGTTAGCTGGGGAGGTCCCTTCGCCTTTCCTATCGGCGAGAGTCAAGGTCAGAAAACAGAAGACACAGATTGCAGAGCTGAAGGTGGGAGACGTCAAGATTTCTGACTCACCCGGGATTCTGACAGCCGCGACGAAGTACTTCACGGACCTTTTCGGCACTGACGGTCGGACATCAACAGAGCGATGGAAACCGCTTGCTGGGAGAAAGTTGGATGCAGAGACGGCGGCTGGGCTCGCAGCAGATTGGACAGAAGAGGAGGTTAAACAGGCCTTCAAAGCGCTTGCAGACGGCAAATCACCCGGGAAGGATGGGCTCCCGAAAGAGCTGTTTGAAAGACACTGGGATGTCCTCGGCAAGGAGTTCCTCCGTATGGCGCAATCCTTCTCGGTTTCAGCAACCATTCCTGCAAGCATCAAAGAAGCGATTACTATTCTGCTCCATAAAAAGGGAGAGAAGGACAATCTGGACAACTACCGTCCGATCACACTTCTGAACTTCACGTACAAGGTGCTGGCGCGGGTGGTGGCGAACCGGATGAAGATGCACCTGCACAAGGTGATCTCGGCGGAGCAGTACGGCTTTATTCCCGGCAGGAGAATCTCGGAGGCCATCGGAGTGGTTGCTGATGTTATTGAGGCGGCGAAAAAGGGGAATGAAGACTGGTACATGCTGCTGGTAGACTTCCGCAAGGCCTTCGACTCGGTGTCTAGAAGTTTCCTTTTCACCATCCTCAAGGAAATGGGCTTCCCAGAGAGATTCGTCGGCTGGGTGGAAGGTCTGCACAAAGACACAAGAACAAGGTTATTAATCAACGGTTGGCTGGGGGAAGCAGTGGATGTTAAGTCGGGGGTGAGACAGGGCTGCCCACTCGCTCCGTACCTGTTTCTCTGTGCGGTGGAACCGCTGGCGCAAGAGGCAGAGCGTCGGAAGATTGGTCTCTGCAACAAGGCAAACCAACGGTTAGCGTATGTCGGATACGCGGACGACACGACACTCTTTTTGGATGGGAAAAGACAAATCGCCAGGGCTGAGAAGCTGTTAGCCTGGTTTGCTGGACTGTCAGGGCTGCAGACGAACAAGGGCAAATCGGTGATCCTCCCGATCGGCCACAACATTGGGAGGAGACCGGGGACGCTGGGCGGCTTTAAATGGGCCAAGGCGGACGAAGCGGAGAGAGTCATGGGAGTCTGGGTCACCCCCTCTGGAAGCAGTGAGCCGACCTGGAAGCGGGCTTTTGAAAAAATAATAGTGGAGTTGATTAAGTGGAAGGCGCTCTTCCTCACGATTGCGGCGAGGGTTGTGATTATCAACTGCTACATCACACCGAGAATAGCATACCAGGCGCAGGTCTATCCCCCGTCAGAAGAGATCTGGAAGAAGCTCGTTAAGCTGATTCACAACTTCTTAACGGGGAACAATGCATCGGCTGAGAAAGGGTTTGTGCTGTGGAACTGGGGGCTGCTTACCACGCCGAAAGCCGACGGAGGTCTCGGAGTTCTGGATCCAGGAGTGCTTCTCGCCTCCCTTGCCGCGAGAAGGATTGGCTGCTTGCTGCTGGAGAAGAACAAAAAAAAAAAAGGAAATCACGCTCAAGGCGGCGGGATTACCGCTCGGAGAGGACACGTTCCTGGCTCATGAACGGTTGCTGAAGCACTGGCCGGGAGAAAACGAGCGCTGGCTACAGACATGCGAGACTTTCATGAAATCCCCGATGGCGGACACTGGGAAGTCGGATAGCAAAGAGGAGGTGGCGCAAGAAAGGGTGGTTTTCAACCGGAAGCTGCTTCTGAACTGCACGAACCCAGTGGGTGGACAAAAGGAGGCTAAGGGCCTCTGGGGGACGAGGCTGGGTGACCTGGTCACCACGCGTCAGGACGGTACGGTGGAGATTAAGGACATGGATACGCTTGAGCGGGAGTTGCGTAGCAGGGACTCAGCCCGGCTGGCTCTCAAAGCACTTGACGCAGCCCCGCAGGAATGGAAGGAAGTGCTCATCCCGGATGCCAGTGAAAAAGGGGCTGGATCTGGGGAAAAAAAAATCGTCTGGGAACAGCGGCGGTGGCGAACATGCAGCGGCTACAATTTTTCGTTCGGGTATTTTCACGAATGGGCAGCTGTCATCCCTGAAGCAGCTGAGGGAATCGTGGGCTGTGCCAGACGCGGTCTCCACGAAGCAGGAGAAGTGGGTCGGCAAGTGGAGCGGCAAGATAGACTGGGACCGAATCATCCACACCAGAAACTCGCTTGCCATCCCGAACCGACCGCGTGATGTCCTTACGCGTATACACAACCACAACCTTCAGGTTGGGGAGAGGGTGGATTTTCTCAGCAATAAGCCGAAGTGCCCGTACTGTGGAGAGGTTGAGACACAGGACCACTGCCTTTTTAGCTGCCCGGTGATTCAGCCTGTGGTTTCTGGTCTCCGGCGCGCTCTGCGCATGCTCAACCCCGCAAGGACATCTGCCTCGCTCGGTGATCTACTGTTCCAGGAAACTGGTACCACGTCAGACTTCCCAGAGGCTACACTAACGGCCATCACCTTCCACCAGTTGTGGGTGGAACGCTGCGAGGCGAGCTTCCGTGGGCAAAAATTCAGAGCCCGGCGGGTGCTCAGGAGAATCGGGACGGCTTTCCGGCTGCACGTAAGGGTGTACACGAGAGTGACTGGAGCGAAAGTTGTGAGGCCGGGCAAGCTGGGGAAACTCAAAAAGGTTAGGGGGGTTTTTGAAGCAGAACAAAAGATGCTGATGAGGATCAGGAAAGTCGGAGACAGGAAGTGGAGCTGGTCGGACAGCTTTGCGGCCATCTGGAACAGACCCAAGAGGGCTCGCCAACCGCCCTAGTTGTCTCGCTGGGCAGCGCAAGGTGCCTGCCCTCACGCTCAGTTACGACTGCTATTGCTGTATGCATTGTCCTCTTTAATGTATACTTCAATTTAAAAAAAAAAAAAAACATAATTCGCGCTATGTCGTAAGTGAGTTCGTCAAGGTGTTGGCGACATCGCCAACGAAACGGACTGTCGTGACACTTTTTCCTATTTTCAACGGCCCGAAATCTGATCCGTGGACAGTCCGAATCCCAAACGGACTGTCCGACACTTCTTGCACACGATTGGCGTGCGACAAAAATTGTCGAGTCACCTCTTCCACCAACAAAAACATGCGATGTTATTTCGCGAATGGTCAATGACCAACCAGACACCACCCATAAACAAAAATGATTCGATAACGACATCTGCGAAAAAAAAGCGAATTGCGTAACGCCTTTACAGTGATCGCGAAACTGTACAATAGGAGAAAAGTGTCACAATTGTCTTCGGACAGTCCGAAGTTACAAAAAAATCAGTCGGACGGTCCCGTTCTCGATAAGTGGACCGTCTGGTTCGTTTCAAACGGACTGTCCGTCAAAATCGTAAAATGCAAAATGGTTACGCGCCCTAACGACCTACAGCACCTTGACACTTCATTACTCGCGATTTCCGATCAAGCAAGTAGTACTACCAGTTTTCTTTCTGTTCCTGCTTGTGTTTGGGCAAATAAGTGACCGCAGAGCCTTCATCGCGTCCTTGCGCTACTGCTCAACTCCACCATTCCACGTTATCTGCGTCAAATAGTATAGCAGAAGCTGTTAGGATGGCGTCGGCCGCTGCTCTGACCAGCCACGTGGCGGCGACTGCGTGCGTGGCTCCTACTGCCAGCCTGTCCTCGCGCTCATCCAACGCGGTCAGTCGCTTGAGAATGCTGATGAATGAGGAAATGAAGTTATTTGTTTGAACGACTGAGTGAACTTGTTTCACATTTTAATATCGCATTTGTAGAAATACCATTCTGCACACCCCATTGGCTGATAATATTTCCCTCCAGCTGCTCTTGACTTTCAGCAAGCCTGTTGCTTTCTTGCATGACTTCGACAGCTTACTTCTCTGTTGGGATATTTGACGGCATTAGTATACGCTGATAACCTAAAATCGAGGCCCCGCAACTTTAACTAATGCACCCTCCTTCACCCTTGCTATCTCCCAACGTATCCCTCAACCTCGCTGCGACAGGTGTCAGCGAAACCACTCGGGTTACCACTGCTTGTACGTTACAACACCCCGCACCTCCACCCTGGCCTATTTGTATCAAGTAGCCAAATCGGTTCTGCGTATCAAGCAGGCGAATCAGTTCTTACTCAGGATCACATCCCTGCTACTGGCTACCCTCACCAAGTCGTTCGTCGTTCCGTCTCCGTGCTGACATCTGTCACGTTTCAGACAGACTAATCAGTAATTTTCGTTTTCCATTGACCTCCTGAATGCCGATCTTCAACGCGTCGCATGTCAAGACCCCCTTTTCCCCCCTCATCTCCTCCCCACTCCCTCCTCCCTCCCTCCTCGTCCTGTCTACCCCCTGGTTTCGCTTCCTTACCATTTTCTGCATCTGATTATCTGTCAGGCATCCAGGCAGCAGCAGCAGCAGCAATGCAGGGCCAGTCACCGGCATGTGGTGGTGAGAGCAACAGCGGACGAGGAGGCCGCTACAGCCGCCGCTTCCGAAACCGCCCGCATTAAAAGAGAAGGTGAGCGTGGCGTGTCACGATGTGACAAGGTTGTTCTAAGGATGGTATGACTTATGAGGCGCCTCAAAAGCAGCCGCCGCTGCCGATTCCGCCACGCGCATTAAAAGAGAAGGCGAGCGTGGCGTGTCACGATGTGTCAAGGTTGTTCGTATGACTTATGAGGCGCCTCGAAAGCAGCCGCCGCTGCCGATTCCGCCACGCGCATTAAAAGAGAAGGTGAGCGTGGCGTGTCACGATGTGTCAAGGTTGTTTGTATGACTTATGAGGCGCCTCAAAAGCAGCCGCCGCTGCCGATTCCGCCACGCGCATTAAAAGAGAAGGTGAGCGTGGCGTGTCACGATGTGTCAAGGTTGTTCTAAGGATGGTATGAATTATGAGGCGCCTCAAAAGCAGCCGCCGCGGCTGAACCCGCCACGCGCATTAAACGAGAAGGTGAGCGGGGCACGATGAGCAAGGGGTGGCTCTAAGGCTGGTACGGGTAGAGCAGCAGCGGCGATATGCGTTTGTATGCGGATACGCCAGAGGTCGAAGGGTATCATCCGCCAGCTTCCATGGTGGATCATACTACGAGGTGAGGTGGAACAATTCGTGAGGCCGTTCAATAAGCAGCAGCGACGACATGCGTTTCTATGCTGAAACGCCAAAGGCAGAAGGATATCATCCGTCAACCTCCAGGGTCAAACATATTATGTGGTGGAACGCGTTTTTGGAAGTGTTCCCCCTGAAACTACACGAGAACGACTATGCAGGTGCGTCCGTGCTGACGCTGCCTGCAAACGCTGCCGCGAACGCTGCTGCGAACGCTGTCCTTACCGCCCCTTCCCTTCCGAAATGTCATTCATACTCTCTGTTCGGTGTCCTTTCCCCTCCACACTCACCACCCCATCCCTATTTGCGGTCATTTCATTGCGAGGGAGGGTTGCTTGCAACCTCTGCTGTCTCAAAATGAAGCGTGCAGTCGCAGGGGACAACAGCGGCAAGCGCGCATTGTGTATTCGACTCACCAATCAGACCTGCTTCTCACACTGCTTGCCCCTTCCCATCCTTCTTTTGAGACGTCTTGAAAGTCGCAGGGGCCAACAGCGGCAAGCGCGCATTGTGTAGTCAACTAACCAATCAGACCTGCTTCTCATACTGCTTGCCCCTTCCCGTCCTTCCTTTGAGACGTCTTGAATGTCGCAGGGGCCAACAGCGGCAAGCGCGCACATTGTATTCGACTAACCAATCAGAACTGCTTCTCACACTGCTTGCCCCTTCCGCTCTTCCTCCTGTCAGCTCAACATACGGTGGAGAAGGAAGTTTGCAAAGCTGAACAACAACAAGTGGGAGTGCAAGACATATGGGCGGCAGGTGCCTGACTCGTATCTTACTGCCCATTCCTGCCTCCCACCCACTTCCCTGATGCTTGTGTTGTGTTTTCCCCCCTGCCCCCCTGCAGAGGGGAAGTTTGCAGTGATCAATATGGGCAAGTAGGAGTGCAAGTTGTGTGGCCACTCATCCAGCCGCCAGGAACCTGCCTTATAGCTGCCTGTCCCCCTCTCCCCTCTCTTTTCTCCCTTGTCATGTAATGAACCCATGCAGAGGAGAAGTTTGCAGTGATCAACACGGGCAAGTGGGAGTGCAAGTCGTGTGGGTACATCTACGATCAATTCAAGGGCGACCCAGTTTATCCCATTGCTCCAGGTGAGTAGTGCTGCTGCACTTGAGTTTAGTTCTGAGGCGCCTCAAAAGCCAACACGGGCAAGTGGGAGTGCAAGTCGTGGGTAAATCTACGATCAATTCAAGGGCGAACTAGTTTATCCTGTCGCTCCGGGTGATTGCTGCTGCTGCACCTGATCTGACATCCCAATTGAGATAGTTGCAGATGTGAGACATCCCAAAACGCCACTGCTTTGGGCTAGTATTGCACCTCGGTCGCATGTCATCTAGCTGTGGTTGCCCTCGTTCCGTGAAATAAGGGCGTATCCCTGGGTGGTGGCAGGGCAACTGTAGCTGGCACTGTTGGTGGCATGCACATTTCCCGGGCCCCTGTGTTTTTGAGAAAGTTGCCACCAACCTTGCCAGCTACAGTGGCCCTGCCACCAGCCAGGGATACGCCCTAACTTGCTTGCAGTCCTGACTCAAGACCACTAGGCTGCAGAGATTTTTTCACTTGTGTGGCCCACGTGTGGGACGGCGCTCAGCTCATTTGGCAGGCTGAGCAAGGAGCTAGCCCGGTTAGCAATTGGGATGACTAGTATGCACCGTGTGTCTTCCTCCCCTCCCCTGTTTCTCCCGGACCCCCCCAAGTGTGGCTCTCACGGAGCTCCCTCCCTGACAACTGGGTGTGCCCAGCGTGTGGGTCGGCGCCCGGTTCATTTGGCAGCCTGAGCAAGGAGAGCTAGCTGGGGGAAATGATGTGCCACCAATGTCCGCTTCACTCCACTCCCCAATCCCTACCCCAGGTGTATCCCTTAAGGAGCGCTCTGAGGACTGGCTCTGCCCCTCGTGTGGGTCGTCACCTTCTTCATTCGGCAGCCTCAGCAAGGAGCTAGCCGGGTTCGCCCAGAACCAGGGCTATGGGTTGGGAGGCAACTCACTGACATCATCCAAGAAGGACGATAAGAAGCAAGACTGCAGCGCGTTTGGTGGGCTGGACTGGAGAGAAGTGGCCCGCCCTGCTCCTCCCATGCTGGATCTATCTAAACCACGGGTGAGTGGCAGGTGCTTTTCGTGCTCTATATTTCGTGCTCTATATTTGATGCTCTGGATTCCCTAATTTGAATCTAATCATAGGTGTATGGGTTTCCATGGGCTTCCCTGTGCTCCTCTTGGTTCCCCTGCACTTCCCTGCCCCGGTGTGTGTTGACTGCCAGATTCCATAATCCTTTTTTCTTGTTCTATAATCGCTTCTCACTCGTCTTCAAATCTCGTGCATGGCTGGCTCGCAGGTGTACTATTTCGCCCTTGCCAATGCTTACAGCCTCATGTAATGCCTTCCCCTTTCCTCCGAACTATGACCATTTTCGCTCATTGATTGCTGTGGCTTGCTCTTATCACACTACCTGTCACCCTCAGTTATAGCCTCTGTGCTGCATGAACCCATTTTCATTCAGCACCTTTTTTCTCTCTCTCCAACTCCCTCTCTCCCTCACTCCATCCCTCCTCTCTCTCTCCGTCTCCCTTTCTCTCTTACTCCATCCCTCCTTCCCTCTCTCTTTCTTGCCCCACATGGCGCCAGGGACAAGGGTGCGTTGCTAGAGGAGGTGCTAGCAGACGGCATCAGGAGAAGTCAAAGGTACACCTCTCAGCCCTTCCCGTTCAACCTTCCTAGTGGTACCCGCACTGCGTTCAACCCTAGAAACGCCCTTTGGTAGCGCGAAAACAAATTCGTGTTGATGTTTGGGAGAAGTAGCGCTGTCAGCACATGTTCATGTTCGCTGCCCCCCCCCCCCCCCCCCCCCCCCCCCGCTGAACACTCACACACACCATTCCGGTTTCCCACCTGCAACCCACTTTCTGCTCCCGCAGGGGTGGTCGCGCGCGTGATGTGTGGATGGTGATGGAGCCCGTGTTCCTGGACCATCCGTCCCTGGCATCACTCAAGGCAGCCATTCGCCCGCCCACTGCTGCAATCGTCTCCACCAATGGCGACTGGATGCTCACCATCGTGCACGAAATGCTGCCGCAGGTGCCTCTTTTTTCTCCTGTTCTTCTTTTTGCTTGGGTGTATTGGATGCTTGTCAGCTGGTAATTGTTTTGAAGAATTGTTTACAGAATGGTAGGCCTCAGGGGGTGTTCTCCGTGTAGCATATCCATTGCTTTCCCTTGTCAGGACAACACTGCCTTTTCTCTTCATGTTTAACCTTCGTCCCTCCTGTGCTATCTCTTCAGGCTACCATCGGCAAGTTCTACGCCCCAACACCACAACTGCCTGACCCGCTAAAGTCCAAGCTCACTCCAGGGGATGTTGCCTTGGGTGGTGGGGGTATCTGGCACTGAGCTTGGCAAGGAGTTTGATGTGTGATTGTGGTGAGGTGCGGACAAAAAGTTCCTGTGCAGTGCACTCACTTTTGGCGCTGTATGGAGGTTTGCAGTATATTTATGTGGAATTGTGTAAACATGGCTTAACATGTCAAACAACTTCCAATATAACTCCTGCAAACATTTACCTTGCCTTCTTCATGCATTTTCACCCATGAAAATCCTGGTTTTTGTTAAGTTTGTATGGCATGTCTGTTCAGTTTTAGTAACCTGATCACTATATAGCAAAATATCTTGTAGTGATACGGTTAAAGCCGGTGTAGCTTATAGAGGTCACACAAGTCGGTAATTTCAGAGCCACGCAACAGTTGTCAGGAATGTCGGCACGATTTGGCGGAGGCTTCCCCGGAACCCCCAAATATGCGCAGCCCGAAGCCTACCACATGAGGTAACATCAGCCCAAATATCCGCTTCTCAAAGATTAAAGATTTTCGCAGTGTCACTAGCGAAACGCACTACCAGTTACAGCTCACCTTGTTGTCGGTGTGCGAATCGAGAGCCAATTAGCGGGACGAGGCTCTGGTAGCCGTTGCAGGTGTCAGAGGGTGCGAGAGGGAGACTCCAATTCCAATCTGCTCCCATCAGATCTTGCTCCCGCTTTTCCCCCCTAACCATGGCTGCCGCCGCCGCTGTTGCCTGAGACCCATTTCGTTGGCCATTAATCGCCCGCTTTTGCCCTGCTTCCCGCCGAGCCAACAACGCTACGTGTCCATGTTAGGAATTGTCAACCCGCCGACACGAATACCCACCAATCGTCAGACTTTTGACCTAAGATTTCACGGTTGAATTCGAGCAGGCCCTCAGATATCAGCGTAAAACACGCTGATTACGCTGATTTTGTAGCTCTGATTTCCGTTTTCCTTGGAAAATCAGTATAGTCCTCAACTTTGCACTGTTTTTTCAGTATTTGTAATTTTGCCACACTGACTCTTTTGCGTGTTTCAGAACAATTAACACTGATGAATCAGTATACTTCAGCGAGTCACACTGAAACGTACTTGACCGTGTGGGGGGGAGGGGGGGGGGGGAGTTCGCGACGCGGATACAGACTGTACCTTAATACACCCCACCCCACCCATACACTTGGAATATTTTCACATGCCTTGTACTTACAGCTGTGCGCGCCGAACCATTTTGCCTCGGTGGAAGCCATCACACCAGAGTACGATGAACCTAGTTCACAACTGCCCAATGAGAACACAGACAACACACCACTTGTGGCAGGGTCCACGCCAACACGCCATAAAATATGGCAGTGGGGTGGGGGTGTTGTCATCTTGCCTGGAAGGACGGAAACCCAGGACCACGATCCCTCGCCATGGCGGCTCGGGAGAGGGGGTACCCCCATCTGCTCCCTCATTCTGTTCCTGCACTCGTCCTGCAGGAAGTGACGATCGAGCCCAAGCAGCAGTAGCTTCCCTCTCAAGCTCAGCACGCTCAGCACAGCTGAGCAGCCATGGCGGATCCAATGCCCGCAGGTGACAACCCCGAATCCGTCCCAGCCACGAAGCCAGCCGCCCTTACTGGCCTAGACTTCCTACGACGCGCTTCAGCGGCTCCCGCGTTAGTCTCGCCATCAGCTCCTACAGTTGTTTTCCCTTCCTCGGGCCCCGAGGCACCTACCATCTGGACGCAGGGAGAGTGTTCCACGCAAGCCGGCGCTGCCGCATCACCTCCTGTCGCTGCCGCATCACCTCCTGTCGCTGCCACATCACCTCAAGTAGCTGCCGCATCAACTCCTGACGCTGCCGCATCAATTCCTGACGCTGCCGCATCAACTCCTGGCGCTCCCGAACCTACACGGAAGCGTCGTCCTGTCGCTACCGGAACTACTCGCGTCGGCCCCCGTCTCAAAAGGGGAATCAAAGTGATGTGCCGCCAAACAAAGATCCAGTGGGGTGTGAGTCAATCTACGCCAACGTCTGGTGCGGGGAACTCCTCCCCGAAGGCCCGACAGCGTAAACAGAAGGCGCCCGCGGTTGAGGTTACCTCCGAAACAGAACTGCCCGACATAGCCGAGGAGAAATACCAGGATGCCTTATTAATGTTCAACAAACAGTGGTCTGACGATTTTCCATGGCTTGTTCTGTGTCAGACGAGTGCAGGGTTTCCGTCAATGAAGTGCTCGGTCTGCATTACGAACTTCGGCGCCAAAGGAGAAGGGGCGACCGATGTGCAGACCCAGGCAATGCGGAAGCATCAGCGCACAAGGAAGCACCGCCGCGCACTGCGCAGACAGAGGACAGCCGAGGCGGCGCTCAAAGCTAACCGCCGGATTAACGACAATGCGAAGGTGAAAGATGTCGAGAAGGAGCGCCTGCTCTCGCTATTTGAGACGGCACTCTTCATCGCAAAGTCAGACGCCCCGATCGAGATGTACGTGGACCTCGTCCAACATCTATCGCAGCGTGGCACACCGGGCTTCCCAAAGAGCAGTTATGGTGCCTACTACACAACGTAAGTGACACTGCTCTAGTACATATCGGTGGCGGGTTGTGATATACATGAAGCTTTCACTAACCACACGCGTTGAAATCCGTGAAGGTACGGATTTGAAGAGATCACCGCCGCAATAGCGACATACCTTCGCGCGCGCCAGAGGGACTTCATTGATTCGAGTCCATTCATTGGTCTGACGTGCGACGAGAGTACGGACCGCGTCAAAGGCAAGCACATGATTGTGCTTGTAACCTTTTTGCGTGATCATGCCGTCACCACAGAGTTTCTGACTAACCTCTCCATCGAGAAGTGTGATGCATCATCTCTTTATGCTAAGCTCAAGGGATTCCTTGACAGTATCAGCCTGCCGCTGGAGAAGGTGGCGGGTATCAGCACCGATGGGGCACCTGTGATGATAGGCAACGACACGGGCCTCGTTGGGCGTCTTCGACTGGAGATACCACACGTGGTGGCTTCTCACTGCATCGCACACAGGTAAACTGTTGCTGTGGTGGTGTTGTTGCGGTGTGAGATGTGCAACGTGGTATGTCGCAGTGCGAATTCTAACACCCCCACTTGTGCTGTTCTACCCATGGCAGGGAAGCGCTTGCTGCAAAGTAGGCGGCTAAGGCACTACCGGAGCTTGGCATAATCGACGCGGTTATCCGTGCATTGGCGGAAGATCTCGGCAGATCCAGCAACTACAACCGCAAGTTCAAGGAGCTGCAGGAAGTGTTCACGCATACCAACCCCGAGGTCCAGGGGATCCATTCCGTCTGCTGGTTGATTCGCGGCGATGCAATCGCACGCTTCGTTCGCGTTCTGCCTGCTGTCATCGTTATGCTCGAGGAGACGGACAAGGCGATGTACCACTTGGTGACGTCGTTCAAATTCCATTTCTTCCTGTTCTTCCTGGCAGATGTGCACACGGCACTCAACGCGCTCAACCTGCTATTCTAGAAGCGTCAGGTGAGTTGTTGAGTTACGTTGTTCAGTTCTCTTCTTCTCCCAGGTTCTTATCTTTTGTTTCGGTGTACCAATTCTCCCCCTACCAACAGGTTGACCTCACTGCAGTGCACTCCCAGGTGAGGCGGACCATCATCTACATGGAGCCGAGGTACCTGAACTGTGGCCAGCAGTTTGGCGGTGGGACCAGCGAGCTGCTGTCTGCATTCCTCGCGCGGCACACCTCTCCTGACTGCCGTGAAGTGACTGTGGAGGGTGTGGAAAAGGAGGCCCCGGGTACACAAGTTCCAGCTGCACGAGGAGGCAGTGAAGGGATGCACCACCAGCAGCGGGGACATGCAAGGCTGCTACACCTGCTGCCGCTCATTCGCCCGCGAGCTGGTGTACAACCTCGAGCTGCGCTTAGGAGACCTGACGCGCTTGAATGGGGCGAAGCTCTTCATGCCCCGCTCGTGGCCGAGGGGCATCGAGGCAAGAGACGCAGAGTGCAAGGAGCACCTGCACGGCCTTGTCCATCTGTTTCAAGCCAAGAACTGGGACACGATCTTGCCTGGTGAGTTAGAAACAGAACCGCACTGACCTGCGTGTATGCATTGCTGTTTCTGTGGTTGCGTTATTCCCATCCTGAGAGCTTGACGTTCTACCCGGTTGTGCTCTCCCGTTTGGCAGGTGTCCTGAAGCGTGCAGCACGAGGGGAGCTGCGCACGTTCCTGCCGGTGCTCTCCACTGCCCCCAAGGAAGAGCAGCCCTTTCATGCAGGTTTGAAGGCCATCTTGCAGACCAGCGACTGGCAGACGAGCTACCCCAACTTAGTCCGTCTGTGGGCTGCGGTCGCTGTTCTGCCGCTCAGCACAGTCGAGTGCGAGCGCGGGTTTTCCCGCCAGAATGTGATCAAGTCGTGGCGCCGGACGAGTCTCTGCAACGCCAAGCTGGGAGATTTGTTGGCGATGAGTCTGCTCGACTACGACATGGAGTGGGATAAGGTGGTGGACATCTGGCGGAGCACCATGAAAAGGCGCCCCAGCAAGCGCAAGGAGCAAGCTGCCCCACAGATGGAGCGGGCCACGGCCAAGTTTGTTAAGCGGAGTGGCCGCCGGGTGGTGCAGGTGGAGGAGGAGGAGCTAGACGAGGGCATGTATGGTTCTGCAGGCGATGGCAGTGAGAGTGATGATGATGATGCCAGTAACAACAGTGGTGATGATGCGAGCGTTTCTTCTTCTGATGATGACATGACATGAGCTAGTTGTTAGTTAGTTAGTGGTAGATTCAGCCAGATCATGCCATTGGTGCTGTCTGTCACAATGGTGGTAACTTTGGTTGCATTGCATTGCATCCATCCATCCATCCATGCACTGTTGCATCTGCACTGCTTTTTTGGTTTTTTTTTACACTGCAGGTTCAGTTTACTAAGAATTTTTACACTGACAGTATCAGTATAAAGAAAACCACCAACGCTGATTTGGACACCTGGTTGGCAGGGGCACGCTGATCCATCAGCATACCCTCAAACCAATCTGAGGGCCTGAATTTGAGTATTCCTGACATGACTAACG